ATTATATAAACTTTACAAACTCTTAATAATTCTAAATACTTTATTTTTACACAATGTCTTATTACAAACAGTGCAAAAGTATTGCGCCAAAAAGTTTTCTTATGCATAAGGAAAATATATTATTGAAAAATAATAACAGAAAATGTTGTCAACGTTTCTTTAAACTTAATACTTTGTTGCCATATCTTTAGAATCACTGCAGCACAACGGCAAGACATTGATGCTATTAAATTAGAAATGCGATCTTGAGGTAAATTTTACCATTGAGTTTGCAAATCTTGCCACAATTCAGCTTTATTAGAGTGTTTCTTATTTCCTATACGTAGTTTGAGTTCTTGCTACAAATGCTCAATAGAATTCAAGTCCGGCGATTGCGAAGGCCAGTCAAGAACTCGCATTTTTTTCACGATGAAAAATTCTTTTATTAGTTTTGATGAATGTTTGGAATTATCTTGTTGGAAAATCTAACCACGTGGCATGTTTCGAGTTGCATATAGCAGCATATGCTGTGTCAATATATCTCGATACATTATAGCGTCCATAGTACCCGTGATCTCCAATGGACCAACTCCATTATAAGAAAATGATCCCTAAACCTTCACCATGTTTTACAGTAGGAATTTGGTATCTTGAGTTATACCTTGTGCCTGTTGGACGTCGTATATATTTTCTACCATCACTTCCGAATAACTGAAACTTTGGCTCGTCAGAGAAAAGTACTTTTCGCCAATCAACTTCAGTCCAATGTTCAAATTTCCTTGCAAAATCTAATCGAGCTTTCTTATTTTTTGCACTAATTAATGGTTTTTTTATACCAGCACGTCCTAAAAGGTCTACTTCCTTTAGACGTCGAGATATTATATTTCGACTAATATCAGCAAGATTTTCTTCTCGTAGTTCTCGAGAAACATCCATGGCAGTTTTTCTAATACCTGCTATCGACTTTCTTTTAATTATTTTATCGACGCGCTTTGTAGTTTTGCAAAGTCTAACGTTTCGTGGTTTATCAGTTAGAGAGTTCGTCAACTTATATTTAGCAATAATCCTATTTACAGTACTTTTATCAATTAATAAGCAATTGGCAATTTCGCGAGAAACCTTTCCTTATTGAGAAAGATTAATCACGGCGTTGCGTAACTGAAGGCTTATATGTTTCGGCATTGCGGTAGACAATAGACTGAAATTTAGTTAAAGCAAATATGTACGAAGGAGTTTCATAAGAAACGTAAACAAACTGGGTTCATAAAGTCACAACAAGAATACGGCTCAATACTTTTGAACACATGTAAATATTATATAACTAAATAATTAGAAACTATGTAATTTCAAAATTTTGTAACTGTACTATTATTTGTAAGAATGTTATGTCAATCTTTTTATATAATTAATTTTGAGAGCAAATCAATATATTGTCATGTATCTTAAAAAGACACTATGGCTCGAAACTTTTGCACGCCACTGTATTAACTAACATAAATTCCATTTAAAAATAGCATTATAAATCGCAAATATACTTAATTAGAAAACTTTTAAAATATATATAATAATCAAGTTTATATTTTATTAGATTCACCAGAATATTTATCTGTTTTGTGGACCTGTTCAAGAACTTTTTTTCTCTTGATATTTGGATATTTCGCATTTTCATCTACACTTTTAATGGAAATTCTTTTCTAATATTATCATTTATATTGCACTTATATTTCGATATTATACAGGTGAAAACAATAAAATTTGGAACATTTTACATACTTTAGCAACTACTGTGGTATGTATATAACCGGAAATTGATAAAGTAACATACTGCTAACAGAAGTATGAAGAAGAAAAAGAGCATTACCGTAAGTATTGTACCCCAATATCGTAATAGAAATTGGGTAAAAAATATTTTCATAAATTATCCACCAGGAGTATTATATGGTTATATTATTAGATCTTTAAGTATGAAATGTCCGATTTTGAATCAAAAGTTTTGTTTATTATATCTCAAATTAGAAATAGTATAATTAGTCAAAGTATGCGCCTATAATTCTTGACATAGTTTTGCTATTTTAACGGTAGCTTATTTATGCCAGCAACGAAGAAGCCTGAAGAGCGGGTGATGATAAAATCGCGGAAAGCGTTTTCCATAGCTTGTTGAGAATTGAACATTTTTCTTTGCAGGAAATGATCTAATGTTTGGAAGGAGTGCTAGTCAGTTGGTGCAAGTGGTAGTCAGTTGGTCAAGTGAATACGGTAGGTGACAGAAAATTCTCAAATCCAGTTCCTGTAGTTTGAGCAGCATTGTTTGTGCCACATGTGGTCGAGTGTTGTCTTGCAAGAAGATTGGCCTGTCTCTATTGACCAGTCTCGGCTGCTTCATCGCAAGCATTCTCATCATTTCATCTAGTTGCTTATAGTAGATATCCACTGTAATTGATTAACCCGGTTTCATGAAGTTGTAGTGGATAGTACCATTAGCTTTTTTTTGTAAACTTTCGATTTTGGACTGTGTTTCGGCATTTCATCCAACCATTGTGCCGAACGCTTGTGATAGTCGAAAATAATCCATTTTTCATCACGCGTAACGATGAAAAATCGTTCGCTTTTATATCGTGATAGTAAAGAAAAGCAAACTTTCAAGCGATTCAGACGATTTTTTTTCTGATGCTCGTTTAATTTATGCGGAACTTGACTATCCAGCTTCTTTACCTTGCCGATTTGTTTTAAATGGTTCAATATCATTGGAATAGTAACGTTAATTCTTGTTACTAATTTACACATAGGTTGAGATATATCCGCTTCCACTATAGCTTTCATTTCATCATTATCCACCTTGGTCTGAGGTCGCCCACGTGGCTCATTTTCAAAATAAAAATCGCCAGAGTGAAACTTCTCAAATCATCGACGTATTGTGCCTTCATTAGCTACATCTTCACCAAACATTCATTGATATTTCGAGTTATCTGCGCTGCATTGGTTCCACGACGGAACTCATATTCGAAAATAAGAACAAACCTTTGACTCATACATGGTTACACAAAAATTGCTGTAATAAAAACAATTCGAAAGATAATCGTAAACTAAAACATGCGTTTGAAAGAATGATGATGTATGTTCACAACAACAAAGTATTAAAAACTGTAAAAGTGAAATATCAGAAATATCGACTGTCGAATTAGTACTTAAGAAAATTAGACATTTTATATTTAACGATCTAACAAAAAAAACGGAATAAAATCCGTTACAGATATTTTTTGCAAGAAAAACATTTAAAAAGTATTTAGGACGTTTGGAATAAATTTAGAACACCGGGACATTTTATTTAAAAATGGGACTGCCATGGGAAAAACGGGACAAATGGGAACCTCAGGTATAAGTCAAGACTGCGTTCTGATATTCACTGTCAGTACTGAAAATCTACAGTATACGTGACATGGATTATAGATTTTAGTATTGGCAGTAAATATTGGAACGCAATCCAGGTTACGTGTAAACGTAGTCATTATTGTATCTGATGCATGATGTGTTTTTATTAACAGATGATAAACGGACAGATCGAATCGAGGATACAATGCGCGTAATTAATGAACGTAGTATCCAACGTGCAAAGTAAACAGGCGTGTCATATGATTGCACAAAGGTGCACGGCGATGCGCGATATATGCTTATATTAGTGCATATCATTAACATTCTCCGCTAAACGTTAGCCGAAGGTTGGCGGGAGATACTATCGTCCTCTCTGGTGCCAATGGCAGCCTCTCTGACATGGCAGTCGTTCAACAGCCGGCAAGGAGATCGAAGCGTCGCTTCGATAATTCTCCCACAATCCGAACTTTGCGTCTCGCAATCAGTGTAACGTGGATATCGTGCGAAATTGGTACTGAAAGAAAAAATCTCGTAATCATCTCATAAGTACGGAACGATTGTAATTGTGTCCGAAAATGTTCAATTATACGACGAAATTATATTCCTTCGATAATTATGGAAAGTGTGATGCTACGTTTTTCTAAGTTCTACGTTTATTCGCCTCGTATACTCGTTAGTGATGATGTTGCGCATTTACGAGGGAATTGTTCGTGTCGCATTTCTCTTTTCATTTTTTCTTTTAGTTCGGTATAAAATAGTAGTTAGTTATTGGAATCGTCCGATAAAAAGTTCTGCAATAATATTGTAAAGATGACATGTGAAGTACGCTATAAAAATATCTTCACGCGACCTATAAGATTTTTATTTAAATGAAGTCGATATTATTTGCATACGTAACAATTATTATCACGCGCGATGAAATATTACACGATTTATATCAAATAGAATAACAAAGCTGCGGTTACTAAATTCTTTACAAAATGTCGCTTTCGTTACATTTACGGACGAGCCGTTCGTGTCTTGCCTTAAGTTCTACTTCATTTATCATCTATTAATTAATAATTGTTTACCATATCGAGATATAAAAATGTTTAAACAGAATCAGAATAGATGTTTGAGAGAGAAAGGAATGTCTAATTAGCGATAAGGAAAAGTTACGGTACTTTAATTTTCTGCTACGACATTTTCGGATATATGAAATATTTGACTTTATGTTAACTGATATTAGAGCTGTAATGGAAGTGGTATTTTTAAGAGATTTATTACGTCAGTTTATAATAAATTTTCAATATATTGTAAAATATACATGACTAGGTTTCAAAACGATTTGAACACTTTTCTATGTGTAATTCAGAATGCACGTAGCAAATGTTCAATGAGAGGATCTGGAAATTTTTTAGAAACAAGTTCTCTCATCAGACTATCAACTGCGTTCTGAACTACATCTAAAAGAAGTATTCAAACCGATTCGAAATCCAGTACACGAACTAGTATAACAACCTTAATATGCAATATATAACCAGGTTACCAATATTTTCCAATTGTACACATTGTTCCTGGACATTAAGATTAAACTAATAAATGACAAATTGTAACTTTCTTTAACATATCGTTTCTACTCTTTTCTGAATTATCATTAAATAATAAATTAGTAAGACGTACTATTAAAAAATTAATAACTTAGTTGCATGAGAGACGCATTATTATGCTATTATGCTAGTCTGTGTACGTGTTAGCTGAATGATAAGTCGAGTCAAATGACCTGAAGTACCGCGATTTTTCTTTCACCATATAGGGTAAATTCAGCTAAGATGGCCATATGAAAAAGATAGCCATAATTTAGATAGCAATAATTAAGATAGGTTGTAATTTCTCCAATAATTGCTAAACAGTGCGTAGTTATTCTCAAGATAATTGATATTTATAGTAGTTTATGTGCATACGCTAATCGAAATAATATTATTGTGAATATTATATCATGGCTATCTTACCCGAGTACATTCTTCTTATCTGAATTAAAAATACACGTTCGATTCAGATATATTCTTACGTTGATGATTTACTATATCGAGAGATTCACGTTTTCCTTCCAAGGATTTAGATCAAGGAGCTCCGGGCTCTTACTTTGATAACGAACTTTGTTTATGCGATACGAGCGAGTTGCATTTCAGATTTTACGCATTACGTAATTTCTTAACATTTTACAATTATTTTATATAATTCACCTAATAAATAAAATAAGAATCTGGTGCCAATAATTGCTAATAAGGAAATATTGTTAAGGGGTCTCTGAGAAAATGATGAATAATTAATGAGCATCTCGCCAGATATGATTTACAACTCGCGTTGCAGACACTCGATCGAGGAACGACATTGAAGAGATAATCTTCATACGGATAGTACTTACATCTGTTGCTAATAATGATAAGAAAGTGTTGCTCCTGTTCGTGCCTTTCCGGCTTCAGGGCCGTGTTCAGGCCCCAACAAATCGGACCTGAATACAAGCCGGATTGTATGAAACCAGAATGCATGCCACGGCCGCCTCCGACTACTAAACCTGGTAAGACAAGACTCTATTTCGCCATATTTAGCTTTTATTTATTCGCCGCCAATTGTGAATTTTAAATATACTGATACCTAAAAGATAATGAAATATCATCATTTCGGAAACAGAAATATCTAAAGGATCTGTAAGTTTGGTGTTTGTGTGTTGATATTAATTAGCGTAATACTTTTTTGGCTGCATTATATTATGCAGGAATAGGGAAGAGGATAGTTTCTAATTATAACATTAGCATGATTGTTCTCTAAAAGTTCGAGGAAGGCAATTTCTCGAGTAGTTTGCGTTCTTTATGCCGTTCTAACGTGAGCGCGACTGAATATTCCTGCAAGATTACAATTGCCCGCGCGTATCTTCCGAGAGTTTGGACTACATTAAGAGAAGAATTAAAAATTTCTCGAGATAAAAAGTGTCTTATATTTATCGTTCGTTCTGAGTGGATTGCATTCCCGCATCCTTCACGCCGATCGGTTGATTCTCATTGGAATTCGAATTCGTTGATTCTCCGTTCTTCCTGTGCAGCCGAGTTGTGACGAGTAATTATATGCGACAGTTAAGGAGATCCATGATTTGTTAATAATCGGTCGTTAATTCTCAAATTAACACACACTGGCAGCATTCACGGTCAAATAGATTTTGATAAAAGGGGGCACTCTCAGATATATTTGGCCCGCCACGAACTACCAATTGACCCCTTTGAGCACAGAGTTCATGCGGGCGTGGGCGGACGGCAGGCAAAAAGTAATTAATGAATCAGCGAGAGGCATCGCGCGGCTATAACTAAATCACAGGCGTTCGCGCGTGCTTGTGAAAAAAAAGCATATCACCTCGTCCACAAAATAAATCGGGCGACGATAATACAAGTCTTGCTGTAATATCGTGACGTAGCCATGTTTAACGATTTCCGCTTTTTTTATATACTGATACAATGAACAACATTGTCTGATACTATTTTGCTCTGCAAGTACGAATAGTCATTGCTGATATATTTTTACTAAATACTTTTGATTACTAAATACGAATATTATATAAAATATAAATACTGTCTTGGAATTCAAATTTGATTATCATGTCACAATTTCGGAAAAAATTGATGAGCTGTTCAATTGATAAAATGGATAAGAAACAATAATCTTGAGAGGTTTTATGATGTAATTTGAGATAAGTAGTTATTTTCCTTTTTTTATTATTAACTTCATGCGAAAATTTGAACTTTAAGTTTTAAAATGCATATATTTTTGTTTTACTATGATTTCTCATTTTGGAGATGTAGTTGTTTAAAAGCAGTTTTCTTCCAATATATTGTTTATTAGTTCTTTGTACGTTAATGTATAGCGATATCGCGTTTCTGTAGTTTGTATTTTGTCAATTTCTTATTCCTTTTTGATTTAGTATTTTATGATGATATTACGCTAATGTAGGAAACATTTACGTTTCGTACAATGTAATATCAAGATAGAATAAAGTTCTCTTTTCGTTAATTGCACATGGGAAAAGAATTATTGGGTGAGTGCAAAAGTTCGTGCGGAGTTTGTGAGTAAAAGTCACACAGTGATTAGGCAAACAAAAATCTTTATTCAATCAATGATATATTCTCCATCGTTTTCTATAATCTTTTCCCAACGTTCTGGCAGCATACGGATGCCTTGATCATAAAAACTGCGCGGTTTAGATTCGAAGAACGAAGAGACGCCGTTTTTTAAGGCCTCCAAAGAGTCAAAGTTTTTTCCATTTAAATAATTTTGCAATGACCGGAACAAGTGATAGTCAGATGGTGCGATATCAGGAGAATACGGTGGATGCGTTAAGACATCCCATTTCAGGCTCTTCAGTTTGCGCAGCGTCTTTTTCGAAACGTGTGGTCTGGCGTTGTCGTGATGAAAGACGACTCCCTTGCGATTTGACAAAATCGGACGTTTCTCTTTTATTTCTCGATTCAGATTGGTTAATTGGCGACAGTACTTGTCCGAATCAATCGTTTCGCCAGCGGGGAGAAGCTCGAAATAGATTATGCCCTTGCAATCCCACCAAACAGAGAGCATCACCTTCATCGGGTGCAAACTGGCCTTTGGCATTGCGTCACCATGCTCACCTGATTGTTTCCATGTCCGTTTGCGCTGAACATTGTTGTAGAGGACCCATTTCTCATCGCCCGTCACTAGTCGATTCAAAAACGACTCGTTATTGAGCCGCCCGAGTAAAGAAACGGCTGCAGAAATTCGTTTGATTTTGTTCTTCTCGGTCAGCAAATGGGGCACCCATATATCGAGCTTCAAATCGAATCCCATCTTTTTTAAACGCCGAAAAGCGGTTGATCGGTCAACGTTTAGTGCTGTAGCAACTTCTTCTATTGAAATTCGCGGATTATTGAGCACTAAAGTACGCAAAACATCGTCATCAATGTCAGAAGGTCGACCAGAGCGTGGCTCGTCTTCAAGGTTAAATTCTCCGCGCCGAAATTTAGCAAACCATTTTTCCACAGTTCGTTTAGCTGGTGCTTCATCCTGATAAACATCCTGAATGTTTTTTACGGCTGCGGCAACGTTTATTCCCTTCCGAAACTCGTAAAGCATAACATGCCGTAAATGCACCTTATCGATACTCATTTTAAAGTGATATTTCTCGAAGCAGTTTGTATGAAAACAAATGATTTTTTTTTTAATAACAGCTGAAGACATCACCTTTCCAATGTTATATAATATGTAGATGGAAGTATTAATGACAACACTTTACGACGCTTATAACTCCATCTATTGAAACTCCGCACGAACTTTTGCACTCACCCAATACTTTTAAATAGTTTTATTTCCAAAAAGTAAAACCATACTAGAATGAAGAAACATATTTTAAAGCTTCATATTCTCGCTCTCTCTCTCCCTCTCTCTTTTTCTCTCTCTCTTCCTCTCTCTCTCTCTCTCTCTCTCTCTCTCTCTCTCTCTCTCTCTCTTTCTCTCTCTCTTTTTCCTTTTCGCATGATATATATTAATAAAGTTTAAAATAATAATTTTCTGTCGTTGCTACAATGTCATAGAATTATTGCAATATTTTAAATCTTTGATTGCATTTTTTAAAAAATTGTTACATTATAACTACATTTGGATATCGAATTCGTGTCTAGCGGGGAAAAGTCTATTCGGAAAAGTTTATTCTTTGTCGGAAAAGGCTGTTCGCATTCGTGGAGCCAAAGAGAGATCAAAACTTGTTGAACAGTACCATATAATGCCGAGACGCATGGGATATATTAGAGGATAGTTTCATATACGAATTATTTCGTAATTCATATGCGAGGAAAACCTTTTGTTTTATATGCCAGTTATGAATAAACTCGCATAATTAATACTTGCGTTTCTTTTTGCGAGGATTAATTCTAATTGTACGTTTTAATAAATAATGAATATAATTGATCAACAGATGAAAATTTTTATATAGAATTATATAGGATAGAATTTCTATATAGAAATAAAGTTTCCTATATCACTATCGCCGGATATATATTTATAATCGGATCTTATATTTAAGATCGTCTTAATATTTCATCTTGAGATGTTTCGTAATCAATAAACCGACTTGTGCGGTACTTGAAGATGAAGTTAAGACGGTCTTAAACATAAGATCATGCTATAAATATCGACTTACGTCAAAGTGTCACTATGATAATCATTGCATTAAGTTTTTCGTTTCATATTTTGTTCGTACTTTCGAGATAATTTTTAATTTAAGCGACACAGTAGCATCACTATATTCAGTATTTAATATTTTAGAATGCGATATATGTAATTGTTTCCAGTCTTTCTTTTGGCTTTTGAAGTTGTTTGAAGTTTGAAGTTTCGCGATCACGGTTAATTTACGGGTTATATGCTTATAATTATGCTCGATTTTTTTGTACGATTTGCTGTATGATAGCTTATATACTCAGCTTCAATATGATTTGCACATTTTCTTGACGCAGTTTGAAACGTAGGCAATGGTCCAAAAAGAATTTAATTTCTGAGAATTAATCGAAAACAATTGTCTAATCGGTTATGTCTCAATCTGAATCGAAAATGTATTCAAATTGCATGAAATCAAGTATACTTTGCTGTACATGGAATATAGTGGTGACTTATAAAGTGACATTTAAATTTTTTATTGTGGTAATTAGAATTTATTACACCATATAAACACTTTTTTATATACTTCAATTAAAATACCAATTTGATTTCCGCGATATTTTGTTAAATTTAATTGTAATGCACAAACTCTTCCATACATAAAACTTCTTGATACCCTTATCTTTTACGGCAAATATTTGTAAATATATAAAATACTTAGAAACATTTGGTACAACGTTTAACACAACTTTCAACAATTTTAATATTAAGAAAAGTGTAAATGTAATTTTATAGAAACGACACGTGATATTGACAATATTATTATGATACAATATAACATATATATGCAAATAAAACTCGAGCATTTGATTGTTTCTGATGCACTGATTAATGTATTAAAGGAAGCATACATGAAATAATTGCATGATATATTACGTTCTATGTATAGCAGCTTACGTTTAGCATAGCAATCGTTTAGATAACGTTTAAAACGCTTATATTGTGCTTATAGACAAATTAATTAAATAAACGAGTCAACCAATTTTTGTGTACGAGCTTATGCATTGAGAAGTTCAAGAGTTGTCACAGTTTTAAATAGAAGTACAATATGAAAGAATAATTAACCGGATAAGTCCCATTTAAGTAATAATTTTAATTCTCGTATAATTATTAAACAATTAAATAAATCTTTTTAATTAAGTTGAAATTTGAACAGTTGAACAGAATTTGTTTTGACACGGAAATTTGTACCTACCGAAAGATGAATTCTCCGAAACAATTCAGGAATCTGCGGATGTTTGGCAATAATTGCACCATATCTAATTCAATCTAGAGTTAAGTGGGACACCATAAAGGCCCTTTTCTGAAAGATGTTTTCCGACTTCTAATTTCGGAATAGTGGTCAAGGAC